AGCGTGGTATGCCTCTTACTATATTTCCAAACCCTAGAACTACGCCGTGGAAGCCCCCGCAACCAGGGCAGAGCAGCATTAGTTTAACGGACCCCCGCATCGATCTTTCACGGCTGGTCAACTTGATCGAAGACTCTTTCGGGCGGAAACTAGACATCGAACACTATCTAAAGCGTATCAATGGCAACCTCGCGGGTATCATCATTGCAGGCGAATACGAAGGAGGCGCCCTTCTGACATGGGAGAGTCCGCCGGGGACGACAGATCCAAGCCGACGAGTACCGTACCTGGACAAGTTCGCTGTTCTCCGTAAAAGTCAGGGGGCGGGAGGTGTGGCAGATATTGTGTTCAACGCCATGGTTCGGGACTGCTTTCCCGAGGGTGTGTGCTGGAGGAGTCGAAAGGACAATCCTGTCAACAAGTGGTATTTTGAACGGTCGAGGGGCACGTTCAAGCTTAGGGATATGAATTGGACCATGTTCTGGACAACGCCGAAATTGGCACTAGATGGCCAGAAGTTCCGTGACTACGAAGCTGTGTGTCGCGGTATTGAACCGTCGTGGGCAGATAAGAAGCACATAGTTGACTAACAAAAAATAAAAACAAAATATACAAAATTTATTTGAACAAGCTATAGACGGAATAATATGACCTCGACTTAGGTTCCAGTTCACTCTATACGTAAATTCATGGTCTGTCACATGACAAAACGGGCGTCGTTCATCGAACCCAGTAAGTTGGAGATGAGATTTGCTACTTTCCCATACTAGCGCCATTCATCTGATTGCCTGAAACTATAAACCACATCTACTTATAAACCCTGCACCAAATGCCCACGAATATCATGATATAATGTTGAATAAAGCAAGAAACTGGAAACTTTCTAGTGTAACTGGTTTATAGGCTTTTACCTAGCCATAAAGACTTACATCATCTATTTTCTGCGTAGTGGGGCGGTCAGGGCGGGGAGGAAAAAATAGACACTCAACCCCACCATTGACTCAAGGCGATAGCGACCGATAGACAGCGATAACACTGGGGGCGGGGTGATAAGGGGGTGGTCGTAGTCGTTCAACTTGGCCAAGACGGCTGTGACGGAAGAGACGATTAGAAATAATAATAATCAGAGTACGAGTTACCAGAAATCCCTTGGGAAAAAATTAAATGTGGTAGGAGAGCACTTGGCGACACATAATAGCAAACAAGAATTACCTAATGCATGGGTTCGCGGACAAGGCTGGCGGTGGCCGCTGTTGACCAGGGTGGACCGCATGCGTTGCAAATGTTTTGGTCCGTTACATGGTATTTGCGTGAAGCGTCTAGAAGTTTCGCGTCGCAGCAAAATGTGATGGCACGCCCCGCCAAGAAGGGGGTGTCGCTAGAGAGCAGGGAGGGGCAGCCCGGGTGAGGCTAGCCTGCACCAGAATTCTACCACCACAAGATCCCTGGGTCCCCCTCGCTCTCCCACCTTATTAGGTAGTCGATGCCTGTAAACCTGTAGTGCGCATTTGGGCAGCTTTTTTTTTCCCTCCTTATTTAAAGAATCGCCTTTCTAACTGTGTTGTGCTTGAGGCAGTCACTAGAACACATCACATCCACCGTAACAACTGCAGACGACTTGGTTTCACGACCGCCGCCGATTTCCCGATCTTCTCTCCCACTCACCGCCGCGACTGATTCCTATCCCGCTTGCTCTGTTTGTTGCTTGTTGAACCCACCAAAAGAACCCGCCTTCACCGATTCTCGATCGAGAATTCTATCCAGCGAGTACACTCTTACCTTTGTTCACGTTTCCCTCAGACAACATGAGTGTCGTTGGTATGTCCCCCCCCGCCCAGATGTCCCAGACATCGGACATCCCGGCGCATCTGTTTGTGTTCTGCCTGCTAACCTTGGTGTTCTTCTTCTTCTAGGTGTTGATTTCGGAACGCTCAACACAGTTATTGCTGTAGCGAGAAATCGAGGCGTCGATGTTGTACGTCACACCCCCTCTCCTTATCCATTCAATATTAGTGCGACCCCGTCAACAAGGCTGACATATCGTTTGGTTGATTAGATTACAAATGAAGTGTCTAACCGTGCGACACCGTAAGTGCCACATGCTTGGCTGACGATAACTCGTCCAGATTAACTAACCTTTGCTTCAGTTCCCTCGTAGGATTCGGCCCCAAGTCCCGCTACCTTGGTGAGCCGGCCAAGACACAAGAAATCTCAAACCTTAAGAACACCGTCGGTTCCCTAAAGCGTCTTGCTGGCCGCGCTCTCAAAGACCCCGAAGTTCAGATCGAGCAGCAATATGTCTCGGCCGCCCTTGTAGACTGTAACGGCCAGGTGGGCGCCGAGGTCTCGTACCAAGGCAAGAAGGAGAAGTTCTCAGCCACACAGCTTGTTGCTATGTTTTTGAGCAAGATCAAGCAGACTGCTGCCACTGAGCTCAAGCTGCCAGTGGCCGATGTGGTCGTGAGCGTGCCGCCGTGGTTCACCGATGTCCAGCGACGAAGCATTCTCGATGCTGCCGAGATCGCCGGCCTCAAGCCGCTTCGGATTATGAATGACACCACTGCCGCCGCTCTGGGCTACGGTATCACGAAGCTTGATTTGCCCGCTGAAAACGAGAAGCCGCGCCGTGTCGCCTTCATCGATATCGGTCACAGCAACTACTCTTGCTCCGTGGTTGAATTCAAGAAGGGCGAACTGACTGTCAAGTCAACTGCCTTCGACCGCCACTTTGGTGGTCGCGATTTCAACTTGGCCCTAGTTAATCATTTCGCAAAGGAATTCAAGGGCAAGTATCGGATTGATATCACGAGCAACCCCAAGGCCGCGGCCCGTGTCGAAGCCGCTGCCGAAAAGATGAAGAAAATTCTGTCTGCGAACCAGCAAGCACCGTTAAACATCGAGTCGCTCATGAACGATATCGACGTGAACGCCATGGTTACACGGCAAGAATTCGAGGCCCTCGTTGAGCCTCTTCTGAACCGTGTTACTGCACCATTGGAGCAGGCACTCGCCGATGCCAAGCTAACCAAAGACGACATCGATTACATTGAGCTGGTTGGTGGCAGCACCCGTGTGCCAGCTATCAAGGAAAGAATTCAAGCCTTTTTCGGCAAGGGTCTTTCATTCACTCTTAACCAAGATGAGGCCATCGCTCGGGGTTGTGCCTTTGCCTGTGCTATCCTCTCACCCGTTTTCAAGGTCCGAGATTTCTCCGTCTCGGATATTGTCCACTACCCAATTGAGTTTTCATGGGAGAAGGACGTAGATATTCCCGATGAGGACACAAGCTTGACTGTATTCAACAGAGGCAATGTCCTACCTTCCACTAAGATTCTTACTTTCTACAGAAAACAGCCCTTTGATCTGGAGGCACGATACTCGAAGCCCGAGGACCTTCCCGGCAAGGTTCCTCCGTTCATTGGCCGTTTCTCTGTTAAGGGAGTCAAGGCTGACCCCAAGACCGAATTCATGATTTGCAAACTTAAAGCCAGGGTTAACATCCACGGTATCTTGAATGTAGAGAGTGGTTATTACGTCGAAGACCAGGAGGTTGAGGAGGAGGTCAAGGACGAGAAGACAGAAGATGGCGAGAAGAAAGATCCCGATGTGAGTCTTGTCTCCTAATGAGTCTGCCAGACTGATAGGCTATTCGGTGACATAACGTCAACTGACATTTTCTCCTAGGCTATGGATACAGACGATAAGAAGACTGAGGGTAAGCCCAAGACGCGAAAGGTGAAGAAGCAAGTTCGCAAGGGCGATCTACCCATCGTTGCCGGAACTACTTCTCTTGATGCCAACACCAAGAGCAGCCTCTTTGAGAAGGAAGCAGCTATGATCATGGAGGATAAACTGGTGGCCGATACAGAGGAGAAGAAGAATGAACTTGAGACTTATATCTATGATATGCGTAACAAGCTAGACGACCAATATGCCGACTTCGCCAGCGAGGAGGAGAAAGACAAGCTGAGATCTAAGCTCACCGAAAGCGAGGTAGGTTCTCCACGTTCTCCATGTGCACTAGTGCAATGTGGCTAACTCTTGATAGGATTGGTTGTACGAGGAAGGCGAGGACGCCACCAAAGCTATTTACATTGCCAAGATGGACGAGATTCGTGCCATGGCCGGACCCATCACCCAGAGATACTTCGACAAGGTCGAGGCTGACCGTCAGGCGTTGCAAGCCAAGCTTGACGCCGACGCGGCGGCAAAGAAGGCTGCCGAGGAGGAAGCCCGTAAGGCCGCCGAGCCGGAGAAGGCCGAGGGTAACAAGGATGAGGAGATGACGGATGCGGAAGCCGCCAAGCCGGAGGTTGAAGAGCCTGAGTCTTAGAAGTATTCACCCCTGAAACGGCCATGGTGCGTATGATGAAGATATACATGCATGACACGCGGACAAGAAGATTCAAAAAGTAATGATTACAATGAAGCTGGCCGGGACTGGATGGTAACGATGGAATTGGGAAAATGTCTCGTTCGATAAGTGACGAGATGTTGCGGTGTTAGAGCTAGACTATGGCCGCCCGGCTAGTATACAAGGCTGGCTGTCGATTTGAGATAGACCTTATCCGGATATGGTACACTTATGACTTTCAGATCTTCTTTCATTACTGTGATTTTTGGTAAAGTTGAGATATGAGGCGAAGTGAGACGTTGAAGGGGTGTATAATTACTGCTATACTTAGATAACTACAACCAAGTTTCTATCCAAAGCGGTTCTGTGAGACTTAGTATGATCCATAATAAGCTCTGAAGAGAATGTGAATTTAAGGCAATTTATTGACGTGCTTCCTCTTCCTTCATCTCCATTCTCTTAACACACCATAACACAACCTAGGTAGATTAATTTCTTCTAGTATATCGACATAGGGTTACGCATAGTAAGATCCACCATCCACGCCAAACTCTCTGGTGGGTCCATCACCACACTTTTCCTCCACTTCAACTCTGAGAGATAACTTCCCTCAAAGCCGGCCAACACCAATCAAATCAATCAACCTGGCCTCGTGGCCTAATGGCATGGCGTCAGATTTCGGTTATTCCCAAACAATAATTGCATTCTCTGAAGATTGTCGGTTCGAATCCGGCCGAGGTCGATTGATATACTTTGCACAATCCGAATTGGTGTAGTGGCCAACATTTGACGCTCTCATAAAAGCTTTCACACCTTAATCAGTGCCGTCAAGCCCGGGGTTCGATTCCCCGATTCGGAGTCTCTTTTCCATCATTTTGGTAGGCTGGAAGTGTGATATCCTCCTTGCTTTTTTAGGTGCTGTTGCCAGCTCAAGGGTGTATGTATATAGATGTATATAGGTTTTATATAGACTTTCTTTGAAGTTAGTTCTTTGACTTAGATGTGGTGAGGGGCTGTGCAAATAGTTTATCGCCACAACAAGCGTCTAGATACCTATCGATAGCAGATAACTCGCTTAAATCCTTATCCCTTCAGGCTTTGGTCTCTGGTAAACAGCTGCTCACACAATTATTTTACCCACTTGAAAGAAACTGTGAACTCCCCACCAGTCTTAGTTATTATCATAGCGCAAACCGACCGGCCGGCCGGCTCTAACCTTCCCACTTCCCACACCCACATTAACCAGCTCCACTGCCAAATACTAGCAAATACAGCAAATACTTGGCCCTACCTGTGAACCCTCTCACCATCCAGTGACAGAAAGAGCAGGAGATAGTCCTTTTTTCTTTCCGCCCGCAATATTTTTTGCCTTCGGAGATAAGCCTACAAGACCGTGCCATGTCTTGTAAGTTTCTGGGACGTGACTCCAGACTAGACCCGTTACCCGATCTCTCCTCGGTCGTCTAAACATCGCATCCTTCACCCCACCTCGCCTCATCTGCCCGGCCACTCGCAGACCCCTCCGCGCCCACGATTCGTGATTCGGCCATAGACAGAGATACCCTCTCGTCAATCACAGCCATTCAATTTCGCTGCGTTTTGCTACGTAGCAATACCCTGTATCGTCGTCGACAGCATTTGCCTGCATCCCCATTAGACCGCTACGATGGCGCCTAAGAAGAAGGGAGGTAAGAAGGCGGCTGACGACTGGGAGGCTGACCTTGGGGAGTCTATTGCACCTACAAATGGCGACGCTGCTCTTGCTGCTGATGCTCCTGAGGAGCAGGCCGACGAGGATGATGCGCCCGTCGGCGGCCTCATGGCCATGATGAAGAAGAACCGAGAGAAGCGCAAGAAGAAGGGCTTGTCTGAGAACTTCGTTGACGGCGACGCGAAACCCGCCACTCCAGAGCCCACCGACATTAGCGCCTTCAAGCCCCCCCAAGAAGCCACAGCCGAGGACGAGTTCGCTCTGCCAGAAAAGAAGGGAAAGGGAGGAAAGCAGAACAAGAACCAGCCTGCTGCAAAGGCCCCTGCCGCTGCCGCCGCCGCTGATGGAGATGATGCCGGCGACGGTAGAATATTAACCAAGGCTGAGAAGGAGAAACTGAAAAAGGAGAGAGAGAAGCAGAGGAAAAAGGAGCAGGTTCGTACTTTCTCGTATCTAAACCTATCCCGAGCTCTAACCATCTCTGTTTTGTCCAGGCTGCCAAGAAGAAGACCACCGCACCTGCGCCAGCTGCTAAAGCCGCAGAACCTGCGAAAGCTGCCGTCGAGGAGAAAGAGGCCCCAGCCCCGGCAGCCGCTGTCGAAGCCCCAGGGAAGAAGGGCAAGAAGCTTCCGCCACACCTAGCCGCCCTTCAGAAGCAACAGGAGGAGTTACGGCGGCAACGTGAAGAAGCCGAACGATCTGCCGAGGCTGAGAAAGCCCGCCTTCAGGCACTAGAGAAGGAGGAAGCTGAAGAGGCTAAGCGAAAAGAAGAAGAGAAGGCCCGCAAGAAGCAAAAGGAGAAAGAGAAGATTGAGCAGCTCAAGAAAGAGGGAAAGTATCTCACTAAGGCACAAAAAGAAGAAAAGGCTCGCAATGAGAGAAAGCTACAGCAGATGATTGCTGCTGGTCTCCAGGTTGGGCCCTCGGAAGACGGCGAGGAGAAGAAAAAGAAGGTCACATACGACAACAAAAAACGCGGCAAGAAGACTGACCAAAAGGTTATCCCCCAATCTCCTTTACCTTGCTTATAAATTGCCTTTGCTAATTCTTTTGTAGGTTGATGAAGAGAAAGCCCTCGCCGAAGCGGCCGAGCGGGCAAGAATACAAGCGGAAGCTGCAGCGAAGGAAGCTGAGGCCAAGGCTGCCAAAGAAGCCGCCGCAAAAGCTGCCGCTGAAGCTGCTGCTAAGAAAGCTCGGGAAGAAGAGGAGATCGAAGATGACTGGGAGGCTGCCGCGGCTTCAGGTGACGATGTCAAGGACAGCTGGGATGCTGATTCAGATCAAGAAGATGGAAAGAAAGTTCCCACCAAGGAGCCCGCTAAAGCCTTACCTTCACGACCGAAGGCCGCTGAGTCCGATTCCGAATCAGAAGAAGAGTCCTCTGAAGATGAAGAGACAACGGCTGCTCGAGCTGCCGAGGCCAAGCGTAAGAGGGAAGCTGCCGAACGGAGAGAGAAAGCCCACCAGGCTGCTCTGGCTGCCAGATCTAAAGAGAACCTTCGGAGTCCTATTTGCTGTATCTTGGGTCACGTCGATACCGGAAAGACCAAGCTGCTGGATAAGATTCGACAAACAAACGTCCAGGAAGGAGAAGCGGGTGGTATTACACAGCAGATTGGTGCTACGTACTTCCCAGGTTTGTCATAACGTCGCTCCCATGGTCAGTATCAGCCACTAATAAATACCCTTTTGCTAGGCGAGGCTATCAAGCAGAAGACTGCTGTTGTAAACCAGGACGGAAAGTTCGAATTGAAGGTCCCAGGTCTCTTGATCATCGACACACCTGGTCACGAGTCTTTCTCCAACTTGCGTTCTAGAGGTTCTTCGCTTTGTAACATTGCTATCCTAGTTGTCGATATCATGCACGGTCTCGAGCCTCAGACCCTTGAATCGATGAAGCTGCTTCGTGACCGGAAGACACCCTTCATTGTGGCACTCAACAAGATTGATCGTCTATACGGTTGGAAGAAGGTAGACAACAACGGGTTCCAGGAGAGTTTAGCTCTTCAAAGCCGAGGTGTGCAGAACGAATTCAAGAACCGCTTGGAGCAGACCAAACTTGCCTTTGCCGAACAAGGGTTCAACGCCGAGGTGTTCTACGAGAACAAGTCAATGGCCCGATACGTTTCATTGGTTCCAACCTCTGCTCATACTGGCGAGGGTATCCCGGATATGTTGAAACTCATTTTACAATTGACCCAGGAAAGAATGGTTGGTTCACTCATGTATCTTTCAGAAGTTCAGGCCACTGTCCTCGAAGTCAAAGCCATAGAAGGTTTTGGTATGACTATCGATGTCATCTTGTCAAACGGTATTCTTCGGGAAGGTGATCGGATAGTCGTGTGTGGTGTCGAAGGAGCTATCACTACGAATATTCGAGCGCTGCTTACTCCGGCTGTCATGAAAGAATTGCGTGTCAAGTCCCAATATGTACACAACAAGGAGGTGAAGGCAGCCATGGGTGTCAAGATTAGTGCCCCTGGCCTCGAAGGCGCCATTGCTGGTTCTCGATTGCTCGTGGTTGGCCCTGATGACGATGAAGAGGACCTGGAAGAAGAGGTCGAGGCAGATTTGAACAAGCTGTTTAGTCGTGTGTCTACATCCGGACGAGGTGTCAGTGTGCAAGCGTCAACCCTTGGTTCGCTCGAAGCCCTTCTGGATTTCTTAAAGGACTGCAAGATTCCCGTGGCGAACGTGGGAATCGGCCCTGTATTCAAGCGAGATATAATGCAGTGCGGTACGATGTTGGAAAAGAGTCCTGACTACGCTGTCATGCTTTGTTTCGACGTCAAGGTAGATAAGGAAGCTCAGGCATACGCCGATGAGAACGGCATTAAGATATTCACTGCCGACATTATCTATCACCTGTTCGACGCCTTCACGAAGCACATGGAAGAGCAACTCGAGAAGAAGAAGGAGGAGTCCAAATTACTTGCCGTTTTTCCCTGCGTCCTCAACACGGTTGCAGTTTTCAATAAGACTAACCCCATCGTCGTGGGAGTCGATGTGGTGGATGGCAACCTCCGCGTGGGCACGCCGATAGCTGCTGTCAAGCAGAACCCTACAACGGGTGTTAGGGAAGTTATAAGTTTGGGCCGAGTGTAAGTTGACCATACTTCTTTGACAAGAACTGATTTCGTTTTGTTGTATACAATCATTTTCCTGTTACTGACGAATTACACAGGTCATCGATCGAAAGAGATCACAAGCAGATCCCGATCTGCAAGAAGGGACAACCCTCGGTAGCTGTCAAGATTGAGATGGGTGGTCACCAGCCGACATACGGTCGACAGCTCGAGGAGACCGACACACTGTACAGCTTGATCTCGCGTGCCAGCATCGATTGTCTGAAGGAGTTCTATCGCAAGGAGGTCACGAATGACGAATGGCAGCTTATCATTAAGCTCAAGCCGTTCTTTGACATCAATTAGGAGACAAGACAGGTAGTAGAACTCTCGCGGTAGGAAAAAACAAGCCAAAGACCAAGTAAGAAAGAGCGACCATGTGCATCATGATTGAAACATAAAAATACTGAGCGCTTTTGTGTTTACTTACTTACTGGTTGGTTCGTTGGTTGGTTTGACTGACGGTCACCCTGGCTACCTAGCGGTAAGGTAACACTTACTTGTATGTATTTATGAACGAGCGGATGACATCGGTAAAATGAATGTTTATGGGTAGTTTAATGGAATTCGTTACGTTAGTAGTACTGCTCGTTGACCGTGAGGGGGGAATATGTTACATCGTGCTAACCACCCAATGCTATAAACAGCCTACTCCATCTGTCCTACCACTTCACTCCCCAAACATTTCACGCTGACATGGGATTCGCTAGCCTTCCGCTCGCAACAGACGTGACACAAGTCTACCACAACTTTAATCTGAAACGCAGGAACCACAGTAGGCAGCCGCAATTGCACCAGCCACGCCCTTGCCCTGCAGTGCCATAATGTGGCTAACTACCTACTTACACGAAACGTCCTCACCTCTTCCCCTCTTCAGATCTTTGCTTTCATTGAACCAAAACTCGAACACACCTTAGAGTTATGAAAATATCTTCGCAATTACATGACGTCACTCAGGCCCTACCTCCTATATCACTTATTATGCACCTCTATCCCCTCCCAACTACGATACAGCAATGCGGT